AAAGAATAAACAAATTTATCTTGGAAGAAGTAGAGACTGATAGCAGTCCAGTGCTTATCCTACAGTGCCACATTAGGAATCCATGGAATGTTGAGATAAAAAATATTATGTTTCACCCATCTAACTTATTTTCGCAATATTGTATAGAATTGTATTCCCATTTTACATTGAAGTCTCGCAAACATTACTTTCTTAAAGTCATTAAAAATAAATAACAGAACCAGAACTAAGAACCAAGTTGACTTGATTGCAAAGAATTTTGCTGCTGTCAAAATACTAGATGTATAAAAATCACAATATATGAATATAAAGTCATACAGAGATAATCAAATATATACAAGTATTTGAGTAACAAAATAATGATAACTAGTATTTTTTCAAACACCTGTATGGTGGTGGTGGTTATGTGCCATAGAGTCAGTTCCAGCTCATAGAAACCCAGTATAGGGTTTCTGAGGCTGAAAATCTCTCTTTTTGTTTTTTAAGTTTTTATTGTGAGTTGAGTGAAAGTTTACAGAGCAGATCATCAGTTTTACATTCAACAAATCATACACCTTGTTTCATTACAATGACTATAATCCCCTCCATGTACCATCAGTTAACTGTATTTCTCTCTATTCACCTTTATATATATATATAAACACTCAGGCATATATAATAATTTACACCACCAAAGGACACATTCGGCAAATCTGCCTCCCTCTCTCCCATCTCTGCCCTATATATATATTGTTCTCCCACAGAATCACTGTTAGTTTCGAACTGCTGACCGTGAGATTACCACCCCAACTTGTTACCACAACTCTACAAGAGCTCCTTAAATGCCTATATACTACCATTGAAATGTAACTGGCATATACTTAAAAATATATATTTCAACATTTTTTAGTAATTCTTTACTATTTTACAGAACATATTATTAATCCCCTCTGTTTTTCTGTCAGTTTGACAGATGCATTTTTGTTGCATTCATCATTAAAAAGAGCATTTCAAGATCTATCTTGAAGTACAGTGTTGTCTGTGATAGGATAGTATCTATATGGCTGCAAGGAAGAACAGCTATTATCACCATTATTTAAACTTACACACCAACCACTAAAGCCAGTGATGATGAAACTGAAGAATTCTACCAATAGTAGAATTGGAATACAAAAACAGGAAACAAATAGAAAGGATCAGTAGTTTGAAAATATGGCCTGGGTGACAGAAGTGATGCTGGAAATCACATGATATAATTTTGCAAGGACAACGTGTTCATTGCAAATACATTTTTTAAACAACATAAAAGGCAAGTATCACATGAACCTCACCAGATGGAATAAATAGGAATAAAACTGACTACATATATGGGTAAAGAAGCTCAGTGTCATCAGCCAAAACAAGGCCAGAGGTCAACTATGGAACAGTCCATCAATTGCTCATGTGCAATTAAGTATTAAGTTCAAACCTACCAGCTACTCCTCAGAAACCCTATACAGGGTTTCTATGAGTCAGAACCAACTCAAGGGCACTTTACAACAATAACAAATTTTGGTATCAAGTTAACTAAGATAACTAAGACAAATTTTGGTACCAAGAGAGTGAGGTGCTTGGCAGATCTTCTCAAAGGACACAGGACAATCATGGGAGTTTATTGGGAAGAAATTTTAAGAAAATGGAAAACTGAAGTGTCAGAAAAAGGCTAGGAAAGTTGTAATGAGAACTTTTGTTCCATCATGACAATGCATTTGCACATTCCTTAAGGACAGCAAAGGCTGTCCCATGAAAATTTCAATGGCAAGCCTTATCCTATCCACCCTAATGTCATGAATTTGCATATCACATTCAGAGGTCTTTTTGTTCCCCAAACTTAAACATCACTACAGACAAACATGATTTGAGTCCCTCAAGAATGCCAAAACTAAGATTTTGGCATGTAAATACAAGAGCACAGAATTCTTCAGGAAGAGTTTGATAGAAAAAAAGCCTTCAAGTGTATAGACACAGATTGACAAACAATAACTTCACACTTCAATATTTTTTTTAAATAAAGGTTTCTAGGATTTTGCAGCAGTACATTTTGTCATACACTCATATTTGTGTGTGTCTCTATGAAGAGGCTTCACAAAGATCATGGACATTTTTCATTATCTATCCATTCCAATTTTTCATGAACTTTCTGAAGTCCTCTCATGTATGTGTGGCTGTACACACATATACACACACATGAATACACATATGCATACATACATATATAAACACACACAAACTAAAGATTTCTATTTTGAAATTATCCTTTAACACCACTCTGCCATCTCTTTAAACAAGCATTCTCTCTAACTTCTAAGAAGTTATCCAAACTTATTAAAAGCTGCCTTTTTCAAGTTACAGATGTATAGCATAAAAGATCATTCATATTAGCAAAAGCCTTTGTTTCACGATAAAAATGTAACTATTTGAGTGTAAAGAATATTCTTTTCTGTAGTTATAGCACTGTATTCTAAAATCAAACTAACATCTCAGTTTATTTTACTTGTACAATAAGTTTAATTTACATAGAGATGATAGGGAATTTCAGGAGCAAGTCTTAAAAACAATTTCAGCTGAATGACTGCAATAATAATGTCCTTAAGAGAGGAATAAACATAAACCAAACTGGCAGTTGTGAAACATATATAGCAGCTTTCAGTTGAAGAAAAGCTTGATATTCGGTAGGAAAACTCTGAAAAAACAGAAGGAGTTTTAGTTTAGACTGCTGGATGAAGCAAAACTCTTTCTTTAAAACTTCGATCTACAGAACTTGACTAGAAGAACAAAGAGGGGGGGGGGAAGCGTAATCCACTCCAGTTTGATGAACTTGACCTATATTTATGGATGCAGAAGCTAAAAGATGGAACAAATCTTTACAGCAAGGATCATTCCCACCCTCTCAGTACACAAGGTAGACAGGGATAGGCAACTCAGACATTGGCTACCCAAAGTGTGGGGGCTATAAAGGCAAGAAGTGACTGGCTTACAAGCTTTCAAAAGGGAACCTAGTTCCAGAGGGTGTGGAGGAAGGTAGAATCTCCACTTAGTGGATTCCAAACTGTCTGGTTGGGACTGGTGAAAGGGGATGGAGATAGGACTCTTGTGGTTCAATAGTGATTAACTGCTATCAAGATTCACTGTGAGGGTTAGAAATGTAAAGGTAGATGTTTTGTAACAAAATCAGGGAAGTGGTTGATTTTGCAGTCCAGGAGCAGAGAGAGGTCCCTGCGACCATTAAGGGAGAAGAGTGGAGTACGGGACTCTATCCAGAGGAGCAGAGACGCCAGAGATGGACGCAGAGACAATGACGTGGAGAAATAGAGCAGCAGTCAATTAGTTGAAAAGGAATTTCCTAAGAGGTGTATAGTCTACTTCCAATATATATAACATTCTGGAAAAATACATACATTTATATATATATATGTATGTATGTTGTTGGTATTGTTGTCAGGTACCATCGAGTCGACCCCATGCACAGAACGAAACAATGTCCGATCCTGGGCCAACCTCACTACCGCTGCCACACTTGACGCCATCAATGATGCCACCTGGTTGATCCATCTCGTTGGGGGTCTTCCTCTTTTTCTCTGACCCAGCATGACATCCTTCTCCAGCGACTGTTCTCTCCGGACAATGTGTCCAAAGTAGGAGAGATGAGGCTTAGCCATCTTGGCCTTCAAGGAGCACTCTGGCTGCACTTCTTCCAAAACAGATCTATTGGTTCTTTTGGCAGCCCATGGCACTTTTAGTATTCTCCTCCAACACCACAATTCAAAGGCATCAATTCTTCTACGATCTTCCTTATTCACTGTCCAGCTTTCGCATCCACATGAAGTTATCGAAAATACCAATATATATATATACACACACATATGTATGCACACATATACATTTATATATATATATAAACACACACACACATATGTATGCACACATATACATTTGTTGTTGTTGTTGTTGTTAGGTACCATCGAGTCAGTACCAACTCATAGTGACCCTATGCACAAAGGAACGAAACACTACCCAATTCTGGGCCAACCTCACAACTGTTGCCACACTTGAACCCACTGATGCTGCCACTTGTCCAATCCATCTCGCTGAGGGGGTCTTCCTCTTTTTTTCTGACCCTACACCCTACCAAACATGATATCCTTATCCAGCGACTGGACCTTCATGACAATATGTCCAAAGTATGAGAGATGAAGTTTGGCCATCCTGGCCTCCAAGGAGCACTCTGGCTGCATTTCTTCCAACAGAAATCTGTTGGTTCTTTTGGAAGCCCATGACACTAAACACATGTTTCTTTACGTATTTTATTAAGACTTAATATGACAAAGAATGAAAAATAATTGTGGCTTTAAAAAGACATTGCACTGAATGAGAAATATTCTCAATTCTTCCTCTAATAGGACAATTTGTGATACATAATGTTCATAAAACCTAATCCTTTATCAAGTAAAAAGAGTCAGCTTATTAGCTCAAATATCAACTTTTTGTAAGGAAGAACGTGAAACAATACTGACAGAGTAGAAGATGCAACTTTTTAAAAACATTTTTTAAAAAATTAAATTGGTCATAATTTAATATAACACAAACTCACTACAAAATATTAAGTCCATTGAAATGATACATTTGCATGAAAACATAAAATTTTTAAATTGAGAATGCATTTTTAAAAAATCAAATAAGGCAAACCTCTTTTTTGAAATATCTATTTTTGTGAATAGAGTACAGGCTATCCCTGGGTTATGAACAAGATCTGTTTATAGGGCTCAAAATCTTTCAATGATTTAAAAACTCACATGCAGCAAGTGAAGTTGATTGTAAAGATTTGCAAATGGGGGGGGGTTGGCTCAATCATTTTATAGTTAGGGCAAATCTATATAACATTAAGGGGCATGCACAAGTTGTCCATAAATCAGACGTTTGTAACCAAACTTAATGTATTTGATATTGGAACTTGGCTATGTTAACAGAGTGTATGAACATACCTCTCCTAGAGCTTCATATCTTTTCTGGTTCCATCTGTGCAAGTCTTCTCGGTAGTTAAACACAAATGGTTCCCCAGTTTTTATGTGTCTTAACTGTCCCTCTAGAAGAAAAACAAGCAATATTGTGATTTTGAGAGTATATTTATAATAATATTGAAAGTACAGCAAATAATGACTGATAAAAGTTTAAAATAATTCAAAAACTCCATTTTTTCACATTAGATTTTATTTCCTAAATGTCAATATAACACCAACATACAAATAGTATAAAAGGAGGACCTCCCAGCACTCAAAAGCTATATTTCTTAATCTTCATCTATCTAACACAAATTAAAAATATTTGAGGTCCTTCTACATATAAGTGTCTACTGCCATAGGCTTGGTTCCAGTCCTCAAAAAACACAGAAGTTACCTGAGGAGGTAAAGTGCAAATATTTAGAAGCCTGAGCAACTTTCTAGGAGGTTAAACAAGAATGAAAGACAAGGGTAAATATAAAAGAACTACTACACAATTCTAGAAACCTCCATTCAACAAAAATATCAAAATGTAAAGCTATTGTTTCTCAATACATCTTCCATCTAGGTCCATACACTTCTGAAGGCAGTGTCCCCTAAAAAGTCTGTATTCTTTGATTTATACAGAAAACCAAAGTTTTGGTACCCTACAGAGACTCAAATCATGTTACCTTTCAGTGTTTTTTAAATTTGGGAACAAAAATAAGTCTGAAGAGACAAGATCAGTATTGTAGGGTAGATCGGGAAAGGTCTGAAAATGAAATTTTCATAAGACAGCCCTTTACCCTTGAAGAATGAGCAAGAACATTGTCATGACGGAAAATAAATTCCTTCATGCAAGTTTCCTAGTCTTTTTCTCACCAAAGCAGTTTTTTATTTTCTTAAAATTTCTTCATAATAAGTATCTGTGTTATCTTATATCCTTCGCGAAAATCAAAATGATCCCTTTAAATCTAAAGAAACAGTAGCCATAAACTTATGAGACAATCTCTCTGCATTGAATCTAATAGGCCCAGCAAAACCACTAAGATCACATGGGGAGCTGGAGCGGCTGGGGACTCTGGACTCAGGGAGGGAGAGAGGCTGTGTACTGGCGGCCTGGGTGGGTAAGTTTGCAGAGTGTACCCTCTGGTTGTTTGAATGGTTATATATTCCTGAGTGCTTCAGGTACATAAACACACACACACACAGAGGGAATGGAAGCAAATGCTGTTGAATGATGATGTATGGAAGAGACTGTAATCATTGAAATGAAATTAATTATTTTAGGATGAATGTAAAGCTGACGTTCTCCCATGTAAACTATCACTCAATTCACAATGAAAACTTTAAAAAACAAACTCAGAATTCACTGCTTAGATTGGACTTTTTTTTTTTTTTTAAGACACCTCTAAGGTAAGTGTAATACTGAGAAAACTCTGCAGTCAACCAATCACACAGATGCTTAAACATATTTTGTTTGAAATAAACCCACACGTGTATGAACTGCAACTTCAGTAGAAATACTTTTTGGCTTACCCTTGTTGTCAGTAATCTAAAAAAACTGCAATAGGCAACTCATATAAACAATAAAATCTAGAAGATGTTTGGGAAAATTAAGGATTCTGGTGTGGCGCTGTGGGTTAATGCACCAGACTGCAAAGCCGATTGAACTGCAAGGTTGGCAGTTCAAGCTCACCAACTAACTGCTCCTTGGAAACCCTATACAGCATCGCTATGGGTCGGAACAACTCAACGACACTTCACAACAACAACATGGATTAAATGAGTTCAGAAGATTTCAGTGAGATTTCTCAACTATTGTTGTTGTTTTTAGGTGCCTTCAAGTCTGTTAGGACTCATAGTGACTTTATGCACAACAGAACAAAACACTGCCTGGTCCTGTACCATCCTCACAACTGTTATTAAGCCCAATGTTTCTTGCCACTGAGTCAATCCATCTCATTGGGGATCATCCTTTTTTTCTCTTACCCTCCACTTTATGAAGCACAATGCCCTTCACCAGGAACTGGTCGCTCCTGACACTTCCTGAAAGTATGAAAGACCAAGTCTTGCCACCCTAGCTTGTGAGGAACATTCTGGCTGCATTTCTTCCAGATTTGTTTGTTCTCTTGGCAGTCAATGGTACTTTCCACATTTTTCTCCAAAGCATAGATTCTTCTACAGTCCTCCTTATTCATTGTCCAACTTTCACATTCATATGAGGCAAGTGGAAGATGCCTTAGTCTTCAAATTGACATCTGCGCTTTAAGGAAAAAGACCAAGGTCTTTTGGATAAGATATGACTAATGCAATACATTGTTTGATTTCTTGACGGATGCTTCCATAAGTGTTGAGTGTGGATACAAGTAAAATGATGTCTTTGACAATTTCTATCTTTTCTCCATTTATATGATGTTATTTATTGGTCCAGTTGTGAAGATTTTCATTTCCCTTTACATTGAGATAGAATCCATAGTGAAGGCTATCATGTTTGACTGTCATCACTAACTGCTCAAGCCCTATTCACTTCCAGCAAGATAGACTGTGCCATATGCATATTGAAGGTTGTTCATGAGTCTTCCTCCAATTCTGATGTCACATTCTTCCTCACACAATCCAGCTTTTTCAATCACTAGCTCAGCATACAGACAGAATAAGTTAAGGTAAAAGTATACAACCCTGACACACACCCTTTCTGATTTTGTACCATTCAGTATCCTCATGAGCCAAATTATGTGTTCTGGAATTCCTATGCTTTGCAATATTATCCACAGTTTGTGGTGACCCACACAGTCAAATGTCTTTTTGCTGTCAATAAAGAAAAACTACACACATTTCTGGTATTCTCCACATTCACCCAAGATCCATCTGATATCAACAGTGATATCCCTCATTCCATATCCAATTCGTAATCTAGATGAAATCCTGGTAGCTCCCTATCAAGGTATTGTGCAAGCATTTTGAATTATCTTGAGTAAAATTTTACTTGCATGCACTATTAATGATATTGTTCAATTTCTACATTCCATGGTCACCTTTCCTTGGAATGGGAACAAAACTGGATCTCTTCCAGTTTGTTGGCTAGGTAATTGTCTTCCAAATTTCTTGGCATAGACCACTGAGTGCTTCCAATGCAGCATCAATTGTTAAAACATTCCAAATGGTATTCCATCAATTCCTTGAACCTTCGTTTTCAGTGTCTTCAGTGCAGCTTGGACTTCTTCCTTCAGTAGCATCAGTTCTTGATTAAAGCTTCTTAAAATGGCTGAATGTCTACCAATTATTTTTGCTACTGTGTATTCCTTCCATTTCTCAACTAGTCCTTAAGATAAGGCTTTCAAATAGAAACTGCAGTAGTGACCTAACACGCAGTCTTCTGACTGTCTAATGAGACTCACTTCAAATCAGAGATCTTTCCTAACAAGACACTGTTATTGTTAAATTCTGTCAAGTCGGTTCTGACTCATAGTGACATGTTATAGGGTTTCCAAGGAGTGGCTGGTGAGTTTGAATCACCTACCTTGTGGTTCAAACTAAAATTGTATCTCACAGCACCACACAAAGACTAAACTTTACAATTATCTCAATGGTACAAAAGTCACAGAGAAAGTAGAGAGAGGGCTGAGACATCCTGGGAGTTTCCCAGGCCCTTCCCTCTTTTCATGGATATATGCTGTCTGGCCCAGCATAAGTAAAATTTCTAACAGAGGTATTCAGATTTACCTCACATATTGGAGAGCATTTTGGTTACAAAATATCTACGTTTTATATGTGAGAGTTAAATTGCTGTTATAGTCTTCAGAGAAACATGTCTTATATGTACATATATTGCAGGATTTTTGTCATAAACAATACTAAAACTGGGCCAATTTGCTCCCACCCAGATAACTTAAGCAAACTTGTGAAAATGAACAGCAAGTTCAAATCAACAGTGAACAATGCAGTTGGACAGAAACAAAGAATTATTAGTCAAACAGTATAATATATGATGGGAAGGCAGGCTGGAATCTAATAGTGGTGGTGGTGATTATGTGCCATGGAGTCAGTTCTGACTCATAGCAACCCCTGAAGAGGGTTTCCAAGACTGTAAATCTTTAAAGGAGCAGAAAGCCTCATCTTTTTCTGGTGGAACAGCTGATAGTTTTGAACTAGCTGGACCTTGAGGTTAGCAGCCTGACTTGTAACCACTCCCCTACCAGAGCTCCTTGCAATCCAATAGTTGCTGTTGTTGTTAAGTACCATCGAGTCAATTCCGACCCATAGAGACCCTACATAGGGTTTCCGAGGAGTAGCTGGTGAGCTTGAACTGCTGACCTTGCAGTTCAAATGGCTTTTCAGTCTGGCACATTAACCCACAGCGCCACACCAGGAATCCAATAGTTGTTGTAATGTGCTGTGGAGTCAGTTCTGACTCATAGCGACCCTGTACAGGGTTTCCGAGGTTGTAAATCTTTACGGGAGCAGAAAGCCTCATCTTTCTCCCGCAGAACAGCTGGTAGTTTCGAACTGCTGACCTTGAGGTTCACAGCCCGATTCATAACCACTACGCTACCAAAGCTTCTTGGAATCCAATAGTAGAAGGTCCTAAATAACAAGCTACTGAGTTTGGATTTTATACTACAGGCAGTGAAGCACAAAAAAGGGGTTGGAAGCAGAGGGACATGATCAATCCTCAAAAAAATAGTAATCTCATTTTTAACCAATGAAAAAGTGAAGGAGAAGAGACGATTGAAAGTACTTAACTGACGCAGGAAATATGTCACATGAGAGTTATGTAATTAAAAACTTTAAAAATAACTCTTTGTAGATACTAAGCTAACACTGACCTTTTAGGAGTGTATTACTGAAGCCCAGTTTCAATTTTTTCAAATTTTCACCTCTTTCAAAGTATATTAATCATTAACTCTGCATTAAAAAAGTGAACTGTTGCTAAAAATAAGACACTTATTAGTATTTTTGCCTAACAGTGTTAATCTATACTCATATCTATGCAAGAAAATCCAAGGTATCTTAAAAAAAATTAACGATAGGTGTGTACAAGGGTGTATATGCATGTGAGGGTATGTGTGTGTGTGTGTGAAAGGGCACATGTACATGTTAAGGG